CATGAATCATCAGTCAGATTCCACCGTTCGTCAGAAACTGCACGAAAAAAGTTCTACGAATGGTTAGTAGAAGTAACCCCCGCCCGTCTCAAAACGTTTCGCCGCCCGCACCAGCCCAATTTCATCATCATTGTGGCTGGCGAAATATTTTTCCTGAGCTCCAGGCGCAGTTCGAGCGAAAAAAACGCAAAATGCCCAAATTAAGATTCATTGGAAATTTGTTAGTCGCGAAACACGAAAACACAATTTTGTTTCGAAGCACACACTTTCATCATAGAGGGTAGTGAGTCCCGCAATGACTAAAAATGGCGGCTTTGTCTCTACCGTATTAACGGCCCCGAAAAAAAGTCAAGCCATAAACTTGTTGTCATTCCCGAGTCGCCCGAAAACAATAACATATATAAATAGCTACAAGGGTTTTTTTTGGGAAATGAATATGTATAAAAGCACGTCAAGGTACTCTCAGAACTGCACCTATTTTGTGTTAATTTCAATACAACAAATCTATTAGAAGTCTGTCGGTCGTCTTTTGAGTTTTTCAACAAATGTATTTACCGGAAAAGTTTTCCGCCGAATTACGACTCTACATGGCTTGTCATGCTCGAAAAAAATTAGCTCGCGCGCACTATAGTTTAATGTTCACGCCTCATTGGCTTAGCACTGATCCCGGATAGATTTTCCCTTTCGTGACGAATGTTTTCTTCTTTTTTTTGTGCGTTTGTTAGTGTTTGCAAAATGTCGCACCCGATGTGCGGCCCGCTGTGGCCCAATTAGCTTATGTGACATATGTCAACTTATACATACATTCTGCATGTAGAAGTAATAGGCTAGAATAGGTGTATGTTCTTCGAGAGTACATCCCAACTCTATATCTTGCTTGTTCTCTCTTGCTTCCATTCATTCTAGAATTCTAACATGGTATCATGAGTAGGTTAGGTCCCCCCCACCAGCTTCCGCCCCGCGCCCTAGCCTACCGGAGCCTCGCCGGCCCCTATCGCGCCCTAGCCGGTACCATCTCGCGCCGTGCCGGCCCTCCCCCGCGCCGTAGCCAGCCCCTCGCGATGTCGCTGGCCCCTAACGCCCAGCCAGCCCCTCGCGCTGTAGCCGGCCCCTCGCACACAGCCGGCCCTCACTCGCGCCCTCGCCGGCCCCTCGCGCCGTCACCAACCCCTCGCACCCAGCCGGCCCCTCGTGCCCAGCCGGCCCCTCGTGCCCAGCCGGCCCCTCGCGCCCAGCCGGCCCTCCCTTGCACCGTAGCCGGCCCCTCGCCTAGCTGGCCCCTCGCGCCTAGCTGGCCCCTCGCGTCCTCGCCGGCCCCGCGCGCCGTTGCCGGCCCCTCGCGCCCAGCTGGCCCCTCGCGCCAAGCCGGCCCTTCGTGCCCAGCTAACCCCTCGCGCGTAGCCGGCCCCCATCTCGCGCTGCCGCCGGTCCCTCCCTCACCTAGCTGGCCCCTCTCACCCAGCCGGCCCCTCGCACCTAGCCGCCCCCTACCGCCTAGCCGGCCCCTCCTGAGTGTTATAATCACAATAGGCTCAGATGTGCCTAAAATGAGAGAAATTGTGCAAGTCAGAATTCCGTTAGACAGCTTCAAATATTGATGCCGATCTGATCTGTGTCTCAAACGGCGATTTGTAAATTGAATCTAGAGCGCGTTGCTGTCGCCTATCAGCACCAAGTTGAATCATAAAATTCCATGAAGATTTGACAACGCTATCGCGGTTTGACTGGCAGAAGGTACAGTAGCCACTGTAGTCTTAGGAGTATAAACTTAACAAGAAGAGTTTTAGATGGAGATGGTTCCCAGCCTCTACATACCCCAAGAGCCGAGGTCCAGGTTGGTGCTACACCACCACAGAGTCCCCAAAAAATACCCTCCAAGGGGCTACACCAAGTGAAATGTAACACTACACGAAGTAGCATTACTATTTTCACTATTTAATATTTATCCGTGTCCCTTGGGCTTGAAATCTTGAGCTCTTGGTCTTGGTTCTGGAAGATAATTTCTTCTTGAGTTGATGGGGGCTTGCTGCACACACCTGCGACGCGATGGACACTTCACACTCGACAAAAGAGAAAAAACACATGCGACACTCAAACGACGACTTGACATGGGAGTTGTAAAAACTCGCTAATGTCTTGACCGACACAAACCACATTGTGATACACCATTCAAACACACACACAAGCACTAGATAGCAATGACATAGACTCACAATTCATTCCATGCCATGCATGCACACACACAAACAAGGACGACAAGCCGAGTGCAAGCCATAGGGTTGCACCAACAAACTCCCCCTCGGATTGTTGGCCTTAGAATCTGCTCCCCTTAGTTCAGAGCCATCCCAGCAAGCTTGCAACACTTCCAATGCTGCTGCTCAACCAGCCTCTTGGTCATCATATCAACAGGCTGTGCCGTCGTCCTCACGTAGTGGAACTCCACTTCACCCGCGGTTACCATGCTCCTCACCCAATGCCACTTCACCTTCATGTGCTTGGTAAGGCCATAAAGAACCGGGTTCTTAGCCAATGCAATAGCACCCTAGCTATCACAATAGAGTGGGGTAGGTCCTTGCTGCTCCTCCCCCAATTCAGCTAGCAAAAGCCGCTGCCACACAACCTCTCTTATGGCACGGAAGAGTGCCATGTACTCGGACTCCACCGAGCTCAATGCTTGGTCCACTTGCTTCTTGCTCTCCCAAGCTGTTAGGCCTCCACCAACATAGCAGATAAAGCCTCCCACACTTGTCATATCCTCTGGTTCTGATGCCCAAGATGCATCAGAGAAGGCGGTGAGAAAGAGCCTCCCGGGTTCGACTCCAGCCGCACCCTTTTGACGCCTTTGTGCCGCCGCGGAGTATTGCAGTCCAACAGTTGTTGTTTGGCCAAGATACTTGGCCACTCTCTCTCCAGCTGCTACCTGCTCTTCATTAGGGCATTGGACAACCCTAGCCAGCTGCCCGGTAGCAAAGGCTGCATCCGGCCTTGTGTGAACGGCCGCATACATGAGGTTGCCCACCAAGGAGTGAAAACGGCGCCTCTCCTCTTCACCAACACTTTCCTCCGCTGGTCCTTTCACACACTTGAACCCCGAGGGTAGAGGAGTAGCCACATGACCTTCACTCTTCCCAAAGTTTGCAGCCAAGGCCTCCAAGTACTTCTTTTGATGCACTCGCATCCACCGCTTCCCACATCTCCCTCAATGTGGAGCCCAAGGTAGTAGTTGACGTCACCAAGGGTCTTGCACTTGAACTTGTCTTGAAGCTTCAACATCACATCTTTCACAAGGTCAGAGGAGGGTGAGAATATGAGGATGTCATCCACATAAACCACCATGAAGCTCCTGTGCTCCCCCTCGCCAAGCATGAACAACGATTGATCGGCCGTTGAGGGAGTGAAGCCAATCGCCTCCAAGACTTCCCGCAGCTTGATGTACCATTGCCTTGGGGCTTGCTTGAGGCCATAGAGTGCTTTCTTCAGCTTCCACACTCTGCCACTCCCATCATTGTACCCCTCTGGCTGCTCCATGAAGGTCTCTTCCTCCAAAATGCCGTTGAGGAAGGCCGTTACTATATCCATTTGCTTCACCACCCATCCTTTGATGGCCGCCGCGGCGAAGAGGGTTCGAAGGGTTGTACCGTTCACCACAGGGGCATACACTTCATTGTAGTCCTTCTCTTGCTGCTGATACCCCTTGGCTACAAGTCTGCTCTTGTAGCGCTCGATGTTGCCGTCGGCGTCGGTCTTGCGCTTGAAGAGCCACTTGGAAGAGATCGCCTTCCGCCCCGGAGGTAGATTCACCAAGTCAAATGTGTCGTTCTCCATGATGCTCCCCATTTCTTCATTTGAGGCCTTCTTCCACTCCTTCCCATTGGGGCCCTCCCAAGCCTCCTTGGGATTTGCAGGCTCCTCCGGTATCTCCACCGGAGAGAAGAAGGCAAAAGCGCACTCCTCGCTTTCATCTTCCGCATCATCGCCTAGCATGAGAGCCGAACCGGTCAAGGTTGAGTTGGCTGGTCCTCCAAACCGGTCATAGCTCAACCTATTTGGGGGCTGAGTCCTCCTTCTCCCCCTTCCTTCCTCCTCTGCTGCAGGGAATTGAATGCTCTCACGGCGTTGCTGCAAATCTGGTCTGTTCTCGCGAGCACTTGTAGCACGAGGCGGAAGTGGCGGTGCACGCTCATCACCTTGCTGCACCTCCTCCTCCTCCTCATCCCGATTCATTTGGGGAGATTGCCTCGTGATTGTGCTGCTGCTACTCAGCTCCAAGGGCAGCTCCACATGCTCCAAGCCGGTACTCTTCACCTCTCCAAGCCGCACACCAATCTTCGCTTGGTTCTCCGCCTTCCACTCCTTGTACGGTAAGTTCTCCATGAACTTGCAATCTCTGCTCACCAGGAACTTCTTGGTAAATGGGTCCCAAAGAAGCCATCCCTTGCTGTTTTGAGCCATGCCCAGGTGCACGGCCCATGTTGCCTTGGCATCAAGCTTGTTGTGCCGAAGTTTCTTAGGCACAAGTGTCATGCACATGCACCCGAACACCCGAAGCATATCCACCTTCGGCTTCCTTCCAATCCACTCCACATAGGGCACCCATTTGTCTTCTCCCACGTGAGTCAAGGCTCTGTTCTTGGCCACACAAGCATGCCGCACCGCATCCGGCCAAAAGTAATTGGGTAGACCGGCTTCAATGAGAAGTCCCCGAGCCGTCTCCGTGAGTGTCCGATTCGCACGCTCGGCGATGCCGTTCATTGCAGGAGAGTAGGGCATGGTAAGAGAGTGCCTTATGTCTTGCTTCTTCAGCCAAGTTGAGAAGTCCTTGCTCAGGAACTCTCCCCCACGGTCAGTGCGAATCGCCTTCACAAGCCGGTCTTGTTGCCGCTCCACCATCGGCAACCAATCGGTCTTCACCATTTCAGCTACGTCACTCATCTTGGGCAGCACATACACCCAAGTCATGCGAGTGTAGACGTCCACAATGGTGAGGAAGTACTCTGCTCCAGCAGCTCCAAGCTTCAAGGGGCCCACCACATCCATCACCACCTCATCAAGTGGTGCCTTCGCCGTTGTCTCCGAGCTATGGAACGGGTAGCGGATGAACTTGGCTTGCATGCATGTTGGACAGCCAAGCACCTCATTGGGCTCCCCCTTGACACGTATCCTACTGACCATCTCTTGCTTAACTATCTGCTGCAAAATGGGCAATGCCACATGCCCCATTCGCCGATGCAAGGTCAGCCGATCACACTCTCCCGTAGCGGAAGTCGGGTTGGAGAAAGCGGCACTCGCAATCGTGCCCCACAAGCTCTCTACACATGTGGCCGGACTTGTGGCAAAAGTGGCATTCGCCATCAAATCGACCGCGCCCACGCCCGTAGCCATTGTTGTTGCTGCCATATCCTCCATTACCACGACCTCCATTGAAGTTGCTGCTGCCAAATCTGCCTCCTCGCCCTCTGCCCCTTCCACGGCCGTGCCCACGGCCCATGCTTGCAACTCCGGCACCATCGGGGCCCGCCAATTCGCGACGGCGGAAATCTTCTTGTAAGATTTCCCGCTTCACATCTTCGAGTGAGAGACAGGGCAGATCTCGATTTAGGTTGATGATGAGCGAGGACCATGAGTCTGGAAGTAAGGCCAGCAGCTTGGTCTTCTTTTGAAGGTCACTGTAGTTCAGATCAGCTCCTTCGAGCCGTGTCAACAAGTCGAAGAATTTCTGCACTCCTTCCTCCACCGGTTCGCCTTCGTCAATTCGAAGTGCCGCCATTTGCCGCTCCAAAACCACAGCCACCGCCGCTGTTGCAGGAGCGTGTACACCCTTGAGAGCAGCCCATGCCTTTGGTCCCTTTGCTGGTTCACGCTGAAAAGGCTTGATGTGACGGATTTGGCTGCTCCCCAACGCTTGCCCAAGTAGAAGGTAGCCTTGTGCGCTCTTCCGCACCCACGGGCTCTTCTCCGGGTCGTTCTCGCGGCGCTTCTCCGTTCCTTCCATCACCTCCAGCAGATCGTAGTGGTCAAAGATGTTCTCCATCTTGAAGGACCACTCAGCAAAGTTGTCACCGTTGAACTTGTTAAGGCCAAACACTCTAGGCTCATCCCTAGAGGGTCCAAGGCTAGGTTGCACGGGAGCAACGGGTGGATCTTGGTGTTGACCTTGTGCTTGGGCGTCTTCTCTGCCTCCAGCACCTCTGCCACCCCCTTCCTCAGGTCTAGGCATGGTCGAGACGGCTCCAAGGGGCTCTGATACCACTTGTTATAATCATAATAGGCTCAGATGTGCCTAAAATGAAAAAAATTGTGCAAGTCAGAATTCCGTCAGACAGTTTCAAATATTGATGCCGATCTGCTGTGTGCCTCAAACGAGGATCTGTAAATTGAATCTGGAGCGCGTTGCTGTCGCCTATCAGCATCAAGTTGAATCATAAAATTCCATGAAGATTTGTCGACGCTATGGTGGTTTGACTGGCAAGAGGTACAGTAGCCACTATAGTCTTAGGAGTACAAACTTAGCAAGAAGAGTTTTAGATGGAGATGGTTCCTAGCCTCTACATACCCCAAGAGCCGAGGTCCAGGCTGGTGCTACACCACCACAGAGTCCCAAACCATGAAGAGTCTCGAAACAAACCCTCCAAGGGGCTACACCAAGTGAAATGTAACACTACACGAAGTAGCATTACTATTTTCACTATTTAATATTTATCCGTGTCCCTTGGGCTTGAAATCTTGAGCTCTTGGTCTTGGTTCTGGAAGATAATTTCTTCTTGAGTTGATGGGGGCTTTCTGCACACACCTGCGACGCGATGGACACTTCACACTCGACAAAATAGAAAAAACACATGCGACACGCAAACGACGACTTGACATGCGAGTTGTAAAAACTCGCTTATGTCTTGACCGACACAAACCACATTGTAATACACCATTCAAACACACACACAAGCACTAGATAGCAATGACATAGACTCACAATTCATTCCATGCCATGCATGCACACACACAAACAAGGACGACAAGCCGAGTGCAAGCCATAAGGTTGCACCAACACTGAGCGCCTGCCCAGCCTCTCGCACGCCTGGCCGGCCCCTCGTGCGCCTCGGCCCCTTCCGCGCCCGCAGGCTCCCCTTGCCGCCACGTCGATGTATCGCAGTGCACCTGCGTACCCGTGTCCATGTGCCGCTGTGCCGCTGTGTCCCTGTGCCGCGGTGCCGCTATATCCTGGTGCTGCTGCAGTTGCGCGATGGCGGACGCCATGCTACGGTACGTCTGGACGCGGAGGGACACGTGATCGACTTCGCCGCCTGGCTTGTATATCTTCGCTGGCACCTGACGGTTTAGCGCCAGGATGGGCACTCCCTGGCTATGCATGTTGATGGCTTGCTTCCCCGCCCCTCCACGCCTGATTCCCTCCCTGCTGACCCCACCACTGCTGAGAGTGAGGCCTTTGCTGCTGCTGTGCTCGCTCACGCTGTCTGGGATTCTCGCAATGCTGTGGCGCAGCTT